GATGTCATGTAATGGGGGGAATAATAACATTCAAGGCTCTCAAAAACAGCTGAATTTGCATAAGAAAATATTATTCCCTATAGCTTTTGTTACTAACGCTGTAGCAAAGCACTTTGCATTTTTTACACCTGGAAGCAAAAAAATTGATGGAGGAGCATTACAAAACCGACTTTTAAATTGTTTTCAATCCGTGATTGTCTTTTTTGGAGGATAGGCATCAACACGACTCATATCTTGACATCTCATCCCATTACACTAGAACTCACACTATGCTGCATTGGTGTACAAGCGCAGGTTCACTAAAACACTCAATTGACGAATGTGTTGTATTGACAAATGTGTTGGGAGTTTTCTTGTTAATTTAAATCTATATGAGGACCAGTTGAGTACTCATTATAAACTGCTGTGGAGCATTATCGGGTGAGGGGGGGGGGACAAGTAAACGGAATTCGGTTCTTCGTGTCTTAATTTTCATACATCGAGGGGCATTTGCTTAACAAAATCCAACCACTACTGATGATTAGAAGGTCGAAACCAGTCCATGGTTTGCTTGCTTAAACATGTGCTGCCGGGTTAATATTGGTCTGGGAAGCCAATAGGCTGATGGGACTCAAACATATTTTTAATGTATTTCTATGTGGAGGCACAGAACCGAGTTTTGCTCGTAATATTTTCTTTCACTGAAGCCAAGTGATCCATCTTCCCATGTTGTGTTTACACCGTTGCTGCACGTGCAGCAGTGAAACGGCGGCACCGCCTGCAAAACCAAACGCACCTCGTGTGTTCGGGAAAGCCTTCAGAATGCCCCATGTCGAGAAAAAATACAACCCCACCCCTCCTCTCCACTCCTTACTAATCTAGTTGCCACTGGCCATGGGGGGTTGGTATCCCAGGCCCCCCCCCTTCCTTTCTTCTCCCACTACAGAGGCCAGCCAAACTCACTCAGTCCTGCAATTGTCACTCGGGACGGGGGTGGGTGGGGTGGGCAGAGGCATACCACTTGCGTTTATTTTTAAATGCATTCCTCTAAGCATAGACACGACCTTGAGTTTACGAACTTTCGTGAAAAATTCGTTAATCATCATTACTTGCTTCGTTAAAAAAAATCATGATTCAAATCAGAATGCAAAGATGTACGACTGTAACTGTGATTTTGCTCAGTGGCACGTATGCACGCAAACCTCATCACCATCATCGAAGTCGTCGTCCCCCATACAGCAAAAACTCGTGATAACTCGTGATTTATCTTGCAGAGTGTTAAGAAACCCAAAAGCTCGTGCCAGTTATTGTTGGGAGGAGGGGGGTATTGGAAGTGCACAGTACTGTAAATAAGAAAATGTTTTGGTGATGCTAAACGTTGTGGGCAGTGGTGCACAAGGACAAATAATAAACAAAAACACTCATGGATTAATAACACTGCCTTAAAACGTGTACAATACGTGACGTTTCTTGCAATGTCCCTTTTTCACGTCACACAGGTCTCCCCCCTATGAGCTGTTAAGAAGTCGCCAATGACCAAGTCTTGGTTGGTTTTTCTATTGTAAATAAACCTTCATAGAAACTCTAGCAGAAACGTATTCCTCTTGTATTCCAGCTGCGTTGGTGGCACGCAAACACCGTGGTTGAGATAACTTGTGGGCTCGGTGATTAGGATCGAGACCTGCCGTGTTGTTTACGACTGGAGGAGGCAGAGGGAATGAGAGGAGAGGGTGTTGTGTGTGTGTGTGATCGTTACCCGACCCGCCTCAATAAAGGCCGATTACCAATGCCATGTTTAGATTTAAACGTTGTCTGTAATACGCGGAAATCTACAACACGTATCGGATAAAGGTGTAACGGTTAAACGCGTCCACGGCATTGTTAAATTACAAGGGTTTGTATGCACGTTAAACTAATTGTTTCCCCCCCCCCCTGTAACATGTGATCAACGTTGCATCAGCACCCTCCCCTCCCCTCAATGCAAAAACGATGGAAAATAAATAAACGCAATGCTTCTGATACAGCGTGCATTTCTTTGTTACTGATCGCAGAATGTCACAAATGCAAAATGCACCAAGCACACGTGTTTTGGTCAGCTGTGACAGCTATTTAGAGCTATAAAAAATACACGACCCCCCCTAAATCCAAACACACACTGACAAACTGGCTCGGTTTACAATTTATCCCAACCTCATTACGCCAAATGCAACGTTTAATGGAATCGCGTTGTTTTTAGAATTTTATTTTTTATTTAGCAGGCTTCCTCGACGAAGACCGCTGCAACCCAACACTGGCAGCGAGATCGCCTTTGTTAAAGGGCAGCGGCAGTGGACGAGCGAGGCGAGCACACACACAACCATCACACACACACAACCATCACACACACACAGCACCACACACACACAGCACCACACACACACAGCACCACACACACACAGCACCACACACACACAGCACCACACACAGCACCACACACAACCATCACACACACAGCACACACACACAGGACCACACACACACACAGCACACACACACAACCATCACACACACACACAGCACACACACACAACCATCACACACACACACAGCACACACACACAACCACCACACACACACACAGCACACACACACAACCATCACACACACACACAGCACACACACACACTTGTTTACGTCTCTTTGTTTCCATGTGCCTTGCCCGCTCTGTCCCTTACAGCACTGAGTACCATAACACACACACACCACACAAAGCACCATCTCACACACACACCACCCAAAGCACCATCTCACACACACACCACCCAAAGCACCATCTCACACACACACCACACAAAGCACCATCTCACACACACACCACACAAAGCACCATCTCACACACACACCACACAAAGCACCATCTCACACACACACCACACAAAGCACCATCTCACACACACACCACACAAAGGACCATCTCACACACACCCCACACGAGCACCATCACACACACACACCACACGAGCACCATCACACACACACACAACAGCAACATCACCATCACACTCCACACCAGCACCATCGCACACACAGCAATAACTCCACACCAGCAGCATGCCCACATTGCACTACCCCCTTCCGTACACTCCACTCACACCACCAACACCATCACACACTCAGTCCACTAACTCCACTCCAGCATCATCATCACACCAGCATCATCACCACACCACCAGACACGAACACACACACACAAACACGTCTGTTTGCCACCAAGTGACGTCACCACATCGCTTGTGCCAGGCTAGGTGCACACCGAGGCCTCGCAAAGTGTGCGAGGCTCCCTGGCAGGAGGTCACGGCAGAGACCGAGGTGTCATGGTGTTAAATGACCGAGATGGCTGTCAGGATACACACGCACACATCGCATGGACCACACGGGTACACGGTACCTGTACACATACACAACGAGTGCGTGTGCATGCTGTACGTGTACTCACTCTTGCACGCACTCGCATGTGTGAACACAGTGCACACGATACCCACACGTGCACACCAATGGAATCACTCACGTGCACACCAATGGAATCATTCACGTGCACACCAATGGAATCACTCACGTGCACACCAATGGGATCACTCACGTGCACACCAATGGGATCATCCACGTGCACACCAATGGAATCATCCACGTGCACACCAATGGAATCATCCACGTGCACACCAATGGAATAATTCACGTGCACACCAATGGAATCATTCACGTGTACACCAATGGGATCACTCACGTGTACACCAATGGAATCATTCACGTGCACACCAATGGAATCATCCACGTGTACACCAATGGAATCATCCACGTGTACACCAATAGATTCATTCACGTGTACACCAATGGAATCATTCACGTGCACACCAATGGAATCATCCACGTGCACACCAATGGAATAATTCACGTGTACACCAATGGAATCATCCACGTGCACACCAATGGAATCATCCACGTGCACACCAATGGAATCATTCACGTGCACCCCAATGGGATCATCCACGTGCACCCCAATGGAATCATCCACGTGTACATCAATGGAATCATTCACGTGCACACCAATGGAACCATTCACGTGCACACCAATGGAATCATCCACGTGCACACCAATGGAATAATTCACGTGCACACCAATGGAATCACTCACGTGCACACCAATGGAACCATTCACGTGCACACCAATGGAACCATCCACGTGCACACCAATGGAATAATTCACGTGCACACCAATGGAATCATCCACGTGCACACCAATGGAACCATTCACGTGCACACCAATGGAATCATCCACGTGCACACCAATGGAATCATCCACGTGCACACCAATGGAATAATTCACGTGCACACCAATTGAATCATCCACGTGCACACCAATGGAATCATCCACGTGTACACCAATGGAATCATTCACCTGTACACCAATGGGATCATTCACCTGTACACCAATGGAATCATCCACGTGTACACTAATGGAATCATCCACGTGCACACCAATGGAATCACTCACGTGTACACACGCACGTGATGGACTCGTGGGGCAGGTGCTGTTGGCTGGCAGTAGCCCGCCCGGTCGCCTTCGTCTCTCGAGTCAACAATGTTGACGCACCGCACCAAGGCACAAAACTCATTTGAGGCCGAGTCGACCTAGGGGGGAGGCCCAGTGACCACTTCGCATCATTCGCCACCGTTACTGTTCGCGAGCGGCAATCAACAACTCGGCAAAACACCTGGACGACGTAACAGCAGCAGCATCAGCAGCTTGTGCCAGGCTAGGTGCACTTCGAGAGTACACAGGTCAAGCACCAACAGGCACGTTACGCGCGTGTACACACAACACAACACACACAGGCAAGCTCGGTCTCAGCCCAGCAACAACACTCGCAGCTGCTGCCACCGCCGCCGCCACCACTGTACGTACAGGCGGGCCTGCCCCAGCCACACTTCGTGCCCATGCCGCTCCCCCCCCCCCCTGGCTGCTAACGACACTCGCGGCGTACCCCGTGGACGAGGCCGGACGAGGTTCCCGAGCCCGACGATGGAGCGCGGTGGAGAAGAAACTTGACCTCGCGGCGGAAGCAGAAGCAGCAACAACAACAGCGGCGGCAGCGGCAGCAGCGGCGGCGGGCAGAGTGCGAATGAGAGAGCCGACAACCCGCTCGTCCCTGCCTCTGCCCGGTGACGTCATCGCCGGGGGGCGGGGCTTAAGCGATTAAGGGCGGGGCTTAGTCGGTTGAGGGGCGGGGCTTAGTCGATTGAGGGCGGGGCTTGACGATTGAGGGCGGGGCTTAGTCGATTGAAGGCGGGGCTTAGTCGATTGAGGGCGGGGCTTAGTCGATTGAGGACGGGGCTTAGTCGATTGAGGGGCGGGGCTTAGTCGATTGAGGGCGGGGCTTAGTCGAGGGAAGGCGGAGCCTAGTCGAGAGTGGGCGGAGCCTAGTCGAGAGTGGGCGGAGTCCTAGTCGAGGGTGGGCGGGGTCTTGCGTCAGCGTGTTGACACCAACAAGCCGATACAAAAGCCATTGATTGTGTGTGCAAGATCGAGAATAGGGAACGCTTGGGCATGGCAGCAAAACAACAAGTCCCGCCAGACCACGCCAGGGGAACAACACAGTCCCTCAATTGGTGCTCCGAGTTCACGATTGTGAGAAGGACATGGAAATAACAGCTCTCATTTATTCCGTTAAACAGCAAATAACACAAACCCATCCCCAAGTTATTTGTCAATCGCAGTGTGCGGCCTTAAAAATGAACACATATATAACAGGCGACTGAGGCGAGGAATCAGGGGAAAAATATTTGATTGTTTTTATAATCGTTCTTTTTAATACCCTTGTCATTTATAGGTTTCCTATTAAGGCAGTAGGTGTTATTCACACATGTGTTGCGAGTTAAGATTGTAACGTGTGCTAATTATTTACCAATCAGAATCACTTGCTTGGTAAATAATTGGCAATTAAGTTCAAAATAACTCACAAACACCTTCGATTTGATCTTCCACGAAGCTCATGGTCCACCCTGAACCGCATCCCACTGCAAAAAAAAACCATGGCACGAGATGCGGTTCCCTGATGCACAAATTGAGAATTAAAATCTCTCCTAGTAGTGGTGCGACTGTGGCCATCCAGAGCAGAGACCTACAACGTTTAAGGGAAGAAAAAAAACCTGAAAAAAAGGACTCAATGCCCCGGATCCACAAATATGAAGGAGACATCATAGCGATACACTCCTGCGCTACTGCTCCTGACGCGGTCATCTGGGCTTGACCACCTAAATGTGAAATTGAAGTCGTTCGCTCTTCATCCACATCAGCGGCCGTACGACAAAGAAGATTGGCAAATCAATAATTGGGTTTGCTGGGCTCGTGGGCGGGACTTAGCCATGGAGAGGCGGGGCTTATACTGGTAGGAACGAAGTGGACCAGACCACCAATAGATTAATGTGTCCGTCCGTCCGTCCGTGGGAGGGGTGGTGTTGAGGGTGGTGTTGGAAATGAAGGACTACGAGTCTTTAAATCTCACAGCGTTTCTTGTCAAAACAAACACTTTTAATTAACGTTACACTACAGTAATTTTTTCTTTAACTCCTCTATACCCGGTCGATATTTCTGTACCGGTACTAAGTATTATTCCTACCAGCCCACCCCGCAGGGTCCTGTTCTGGCATGTGGGGGCGTGATTTAAACCAGGGGGCGGGGGCTTGGTGGCCTGACGAGGGAGGGAGGGGAATTTTAAAGCCCAGCTGGGCTTGTGAAGTGGAGCTCCCAGGAGTTGATATACTACTACACAGCGTACTACTGAGTGAAAATATATATATTTCTTTATATGGATAGGTACTACATATGAAGGAAACATTTTCTGCGCATTAATTATGTGTATACAGTACTTTAGTACAAATCCAGCTATATGTTCAGTCGTGTCCGACTTAAGTTATTTTTTTTACTAGGTAAGCCCCAAATTTTGACTCAAAACTTTCGTGACTGCAGGAATTCATATTCTTTGGTTCTTTCGGTAAAGTCACGTAGATAGAAAAAATAAAAGTAAAAGTAGCATTCCCTTTTTCCTCCTGATAACGATCGCTTGTGTTGTGATCGAAACGTCGTAGTTTTATTTACTTTTAATCTTTCTATCTACGTGACTATACCAAAAGAACCAAATAATAGGTAAGGCCCACTGAGCTATGCAGCTCCTATTCAGAAGTGACCTGCCCACAAAAGACAGATCGACGAAGTGGCTTATCACGTGGAAATGTATAGCAGTGCCAAATACTCCAAACGCATGTTTCTAAATGTGGAGGGAAAAACCGGAGGACCCGGAGAAAAATACACGTGACCACGGAGAGACATGCATTGTCAGAGCAAAAAAGTGGAGCGCCACTTGAGATGCCGGATTTCAATCTGGGTAGCTACCCCTGATTCAAGCAGTTTCTCAAGTGTACCAAGTGGATGGCCTCAGTCCAGCCATCAATGATTGGACCCCCCCCCCCCATCATATTGTATTAGGTTTTTCATATTAATTTTGAAAACATGACATCTTACATTAAATATTACATTCCACTCCCGAGTGAGGGTAAAAAAATCTGTTAACGAGACTTCATAAATGTCTATTGATGTCACCAGCAATTGCCATATTGCATCTACCGGCCGTCCGTGCTTAAGTCTTGAGCCTCAATTCAAGTTGAGGCTGAAAACGTTATCCTCTGCCGATAACTGTGAAAGAAAGATGGCCACTGTTCTCTACAGCGTCTTTAGATCCTAATGCATTGAGACGCAGTGTAAATCTAAACGATTTTGAACTGTAGTTTCATCATAGTCATTATCATTATACACATGCCCGTGCTTTTGCGATTGTTTCCTTATATCTGTTGGTGATCACGAACAAAATGGAGACTCAATTGCGTGTACATAGTCCCTGGGACTGTCCAAGGACCTCGTCTTATCCCTATGGAGAGATATTGTCTCAGCACCAGATTTTGATTCATTCTGCCCTTTAGCTATTATCCACAAAAAAACAATCAGAAGGATTGATCTGCAGATGTGGATAAATGCATAATCTGATCATGCGAATAAAAATAATCTTAATTTAGACTGGAGAAATACGATGAGCTATGAAGCATTTTTTCAGAAATGCCCAACGTGGGCGCATCTGCGAGTTACAACAGCAAACAATACAAAAACACGAAAATGGTAAAAAAAAAAAGTCACTAAATATAAATAATGATGATTCAAGGATGAGCGAGTCACAGAAAAGAGTCTTTCTGTACATGTCGTGAACAAGACCGTACTCCAGGTTCGGGGAATACTTTATTATACATAGTTATACAATGCAGCTTTGTCGTAAAAAATATTACAGTAAACATAACATACATATACATAACAGTGGATCGTGAGTCCCGTGTGTCACATGTGGCAGAGATGATAGGTGAGAGAGGTGTGCAACTCGGTGAGGAGGGGGTCAAGCCGGGTAGGGAGTCAAACTCAGCGCCCTGGAGACAGGGGAGGAGTTTCCTGGAATGTTCAAAAGACGTGGCCAATTAGGGATGAGCTCGCGACAACAACAGCAGGGGTGTGTTATCGAGGTAGGAAGCCAATGGAGTGGTCGTGCGGTGATGTTGAAGGTGGGCTCTTAATTGGTGCCATCAAAGTCTGGGCTCAAACTGGATAGGGCTGGTTGGCCGTGGGCCGGTTAATTAGTGCTCACAAACGCGTTCGTGTCTGTGTCGTGCGCGTTTCAACATCTGAGAGCACGTGGTAAGATGTGCTACATATTTTCGCGTTTACTGCACATCTGTGAAAAAGAGCTTTATAGCTCATCGGATTATTCCAGTGGAAATCAATATTCTTATTCTGTTCACCCTACGGTAGATGGTATCTGGTACAGTACATCCAGAGAGCGTGGAAGCCAAAATCATTGGCATTTTGCAAGACTCGCCCTCCTCTTCGAGGCCAATATCCCTCTTGTCATGTACCTCCAAGCTAATGGAACGTGCTATACTTGCCAAAATTTCCCCCATTACCGATGCCCAACTGCCTTCCGAACAAGCCAGATTTCGCTGTTATGAACATATCGTTGCCATCATCAACCCTCGTACACAAAACTGCAATATGCATAATTTAGTAAAACGATGGGTATCATAACTGGAGCATTGACACCAACACTAATCCTCTGGCTCCCTGTTATGGCGAACCTTGAACCACCTAATGTCCACCTAAATGACAATGGACCCATCAACCAAGACACCAACAATTAACCCTGCCACCGACTCGACGCCCGATGCCCCCTTGTGGGATCGCGCTGTCACCAACCTAGATTTTAACCAAAATCCAGAAGAATGCTGGCAAACAGAGTGGAACGCGCATGTCTAGCATAAACGCCTCATTAGAGACTCAAACATAGCCATTCCAGACAGCGACATTTCTCGAAGACACTTGTGTACCCATCAACAGCATCATAACATCAGCAGGCTGGAGCGCACATCTTCATGAATGAAATGAAAACTACAGTGCGATTGTGGCCATGCATACAAAGTGCTTTACACAAATGAATCAATACCTTTCTTGAACCACTAAAACTTGCTTGAACCACCTTTCTGATTTCGTCAAGGAGCATAAACTATCACGCAAACTCCGGTCATCCTCGCAGCGGCTTTTGGCTAACCATCGAACAAAGATGGTCACTTCAACGCGCGCTTTCAGATGCACTTCTGCGGCCGTCTGGAACGCTTTTCCTTCCGATATTAGAAAGCCACTGGAGCTATGTACTTTTAAATGTAGATTGAAAAATCATTTATTTAGAACTGCTTTTTGTGTTTAGTTTGTGGTCTTTCCCCCGTACCAGAAGGTGCGAAAAAAGTTTATCATACACATACAGTACATGCAACCCAAAACAATGGACCGTATAGTAAACCGCTGTCCTGCGCTCTTTCAATAGAGTAACAAAACTACACAAATTTCTCGGGACGCCCTCTCGTGGCTAACAGACCTCGAAGTTGGAATTTAGCTCCTGAACTTATGACCCCATGCAAAAATAGAATTTGATGCAGTTTGGTAGACGCCTAACCTGCCCCAATACAGGAGGTTCTCAGCCATGAGTTATTCTTGTGCGGTTATGTAAAACAGTATTTGCAGCAGATTAACTTTCGAGCTGTGTGTTCAGAATAGTTT